AAAGTGAAGTGACTTTTTAAAAATGTCTCTCATTTTGACACCACTTTATCAGTTCTTTTTTGCTTTTATTCAGGATTTACTATGCCATAGAAGCTGCCAAAGACTCACTTGGTAATCAAATTTCATCATTTGTTGGTCTCATACTGGACAAAATAATGCACGAGGATGGTAGGATTTCTTAATACATTTGTTGATCTAGAAATAATTCTCGGTTCATTCTCAAATTATAATATCATAATGTTGAATTTTAAAAAAGTCTTCTTCCATTAGTAAATAAGAAAATAAGCATAGTTTTAGTATTAAATTTATATTTTACAATAAATGGACAGCCTGAAGAAAAAAGGAGCAACTCTGATAAAATACTTTCTGATAAACGGACGGTGATGTAAAAAAATTTTATATAACTTATCAAAGCAGATTTCTGAATAGAAGCTGAGTATAGTTATTTGGTACTATTCACGTTATGCTGATACATGAAATAAATTAATGTTAACAAGAAATTTGCTAATGGGTTTCAATAGATTTTTAATGTAGAGTATGTTGTAAAATGTTTTACATGTTTCGGATGTTCCTTCAGAGTTGAAGATAGTTTTATTCCTAGTCCTAACCTCCCGCAGGATGATGGGGGATGGGATGGGAGCGGGCAGGGTTTGAACCCGGGACCATCGATAAATCCAAACGACAGTCCAGCAAGCAAACCACTCGACCAGGCAGCCAGTATGGTATTTAAATCTAGTGCACTTTTTTTTTTTGAAGGAATTACTTTCAAATTATAATCCACCAGACAAGTATAATTATTATTTACAACAGTTTAAAGCTATAGTCATCCAGACAAGCATAATTATTATTTATTTACATTTTTTTTTTACCACCATTTTTATCTTTGACCTTTAAAAAATGTTTCTTGAATTTTTACCCAGGAAGTTGCTTAATTCACATTTGTTTTCAAATTTAAGTTTTAATCACTTTTGTTTGATTTGTGCATTATATTAGGGAGCATCATCATTGTTAAAAAAGCAGACAGAAACGTTCTGACATCATGATGGCTTTTCTCTTGTTGACCTGCGAAAAAGCATTGACCTCAGCTCTGGAAGAAAAGCTTGCCAAACAAAAAATGGCTTGACTCCTTTACCACCAAAGCGAATACCACCTTAACTTGTAATACACATGGACAGAAATGTGTCTTGAGAATAGGGCTCCACAGTCACATGAGAAAGTGTTCCCTGAGATGAACCTTAGTCCTTCTTGCACTGAAGGAGGTCAATAGAATAATTTTAACAAGTTATTTCTTTGAGACTAGTCAGCTGGCTTGATCTCAAGAAGTTCACCCATTCCTGTGGCTTAGCAAGATTTATTTGTTACCAACATAAAGACCAATAGCTGATGCAAATGTTAAGGGTTGGTTTTAAATACAGATGTCCTCTAGGTATTGACAATAAATTTCCCAATTTTGGCACAAATAGTAGTTAACAGTCAGTACTAGTACTAGTACCACTTCCTCAATGTCCCCTTTTATTTTATTTTGATTTGTTCCCCCAACTGGTCCACAAATGAGATTGGACCATAGCGCTCTGAGCATGCTATAAGCATGAAAGTAGCGCTATATAAAAGCCATAATTTATTTATTTAATTGATAATTTATTTAATCGTTTATGTCATTTTCTTTTCATTTCAGATGTCAGCAACTTGATAGCGATGCCAAAAACTTACACCAGCTGAGGCATGCAGAGCACAGAATAATTATTTTCAAAAGAAGAAAACTCTAAAAGTGAAATAACCACCACCATGTTTGTTCAATCCGTCATTTATTTATCCGTGATATTTATTTACTCTTTCAATCCTATATTTTGTACTGTTTCAACCTTTACATAATAATCTTCATTTATCTATTATTGGAAGTAGATTATTTATGGAAATTTTGGAATTTACAGAAATCACTAGAATGTAAAGTAACAAAATGCTTTATCTTAATTAAATAGATTTCAAATACAGTGGACTCCAGTTAATTGGACTGAATTAATCAGACCAGCTGCATATTAGAGTACAGAAACAAATCCTATTTTAGTCAAATATGGATAATCAGACCAGTCAATTATTAGGATTTAAAAAATCACATCCTAATATGATCCAATTAATCTGATTAGACTGTAATTACTTTTCTTACTGTACTGAGGGTTTTACAGGTTTTTGGGCCCACGTCTTATTTAATTTCAACCTTGTTATGCTCTACAAAATAAGTTTTACTTATAATTAAAACTGTGCAGATCAGTTAAACAACTTTTTACATATCAAAGATAAAAGTTTTAACTGTTTTCTGGAAGTTATTTGCATAACCATTTATATTTTTTTGAAGGTCAAAACTCCTCTTATTAGTACGTTAAGCCTAGTCATTTCTGCTTGAGAAGAACCGGGTGATTGAACAATCACAGGGTTTTAGTTCTTTAAAAAAAAAAATCTGCAGAAAAGTTAATTAACAAAGAGTAAAAAATTATGAAACAAACAAAAAATCTAGAAACTAATTTTTACTTGATAGAATTCTGATTTGATAACACGCTTACTGCTTCATTGAATACATATGTTGTTGACTATTTGTTATTGGCTTTGCGCATTGTCTCTTGTATTTAAAAAATGTTTACCATTTTGAAAGCTTGTGATAGACTGGGCATATACTGCTTGGTTAACCCATTACGCTCTTGTCCAGCATTGATGGGTTTGTCTGCTTTTTACTGCTGCATTGTATCTGTATAAGTATTTTTGTTGTAGCAAATGATGAATTGAGTTTTTTAAAGATGTTATCAGGATGAATGACAGTGAGGCATTTGGAATGAAGACTTAGAATAAACTTGCAGAATTAGCTAGCTCTTGTGCAATATTTTAACATTACTTTTAGTATTACCACAATGTAAGATGTTTTAATTTTTCAAATACCGTACATTTTTTTTTAAGTTTACAAAAAAATGTATTAGAAATGAGTGCCAAGTGTTAATGAAAAGCTCATCTCTCTGATAAAAAGATTCCTCCACTATTATCACAAGGGCTACCGAGTCGTGTTGGTGTGTACTAGGGACTGGCATTGCAATGGTTCCAGAGTTCAAATCTTGCCGACTTCTGTCAGCTGACATCCTGCAGGAGGTTTGGGCTAGGATGTAATAATCTTCATATTCGAAGGAGTGTCTGCAACTTGTAAGACAACACAAAGTGCAGCAAGTTCTTTTTGTCTTAAGGGCCTGCTACCTTTCTCAGTTGTGCCCTGCTGCCTTTCTCAGTTGTGCCCTGCTTTCAATAATTTTTCATCTTAATTTCATGGACATCTGTAGTTATTCCCCTTAAATAAGCTTAGCTTTGTTTTTAAAAGTATTTTTTAATTCTTTCAGTTTTCCTCATTGTTATTGCAGTCATTGGGCTTTCTGCTCATATTATTACTTGCTGAGATATTTCTCTTATCCTTTTACCTGTTTGGTTTCTATTATGATTTAACTGAGTTCAATTCTCAAACATGCAAAAAGTGTATAAAGTGCACATTTGATGAGTGAATCTATTGACATAAGAATAGATGTTGTGTGATAAATGTTGGCATCATCAGTTCTAAACTCCTACTGTCAATGGTATCCATATACTTCTGATCATATTTTAAACCTACTAAAATGTTCTCAACCATTTTACCTTAATGTTGACAAATGCTGTTGTTTTTTTTCAGTAGAGATACTGTGTATAACTAGATAAATATATTTTTATTGATTTGTCTCAGGATTTTGATATTTATTATGATGATTATTAACTACATCAAAAAAATAAAAAAATAAATGTTTACAATTCCTCTATTCAGCTTGCAAATTTTTCATCTGTAAAAAACAAAAACCTGGGTAGGTGGACACGGTTCGGCAAAACAGCTATAACGATTTTCCTAAAAATTTCACAGCTTATGTAAAATAGTAGCTAATGGGCCACACAGGGGAAAACTCTGGTATTCCAGCATGTCTTTATTAAAGAATGAAATAAACATTCAGGAACATTTTGCGCAGTCTTCTAAGCTCCTTTTCAGACCATGGGGTCCATAGGGCAGATGATGTTAAAGTCATTTGTTCCTTAGGCCAGCGGTTAACATACAGGGTGTCATGTGGCCAGCAGATGAACAGGACAGCACAATGGCCAGCCGGCTTTACTAAAGTCAGATAACCTTTAGAGTTTGGTGTACTCAGGGGTGCCCTAAAAATCTGGAAGTTCAAAGGCCTAGTCTTCACTGAGTTTCAAACCCAGGTCTCCAGGTTTGGAAGCTAGGTTCTAAGTCCAGACCTATCATCAAACTAGAATCTGTCTTTTTAATGTTGCCATGTTAAGAGCAAAGTAATTGCTTTTACAAAAGTCATCAGCATCGTCACTTGTTTTTTGTTGTTTTTTTTAACGACTTTTTCTTGAATGTCATTCAACATTAAAAACATTTTCATGAGCAACTGATGTATACATCAGTGCTGCGCCTCAGATTACTGAGTGTGTCATATTATCATGAATCAACTGTCAAATTCAAGAAAACAAAAATACTTAGTTTCTTAAACTGAAAATTGCCACAGTTCATGAATGGAACTTATTGAGGTTGACTTAATTTATTTATTTAATATTTTTAAATTTGGATGTAATCTTATATAGGTCAAATTCTTTTAATTGCAAATTAGTTTGGATGAACTAAGTGAGAATGAAATATGAATTTTGGCTTTCTTTTATTTTTTTACAGACCTGTTTTGAGTTGTTTTTTTTACTTATCAATCAATGCATTTTGTTTTTATAGATTGCTACAACATGTTTTATCACTTGACACTGAATTTTGTTAAAAAGTTGGGTAATTAGTACAAAACTATATCCCTTTACACTAGATTACAAGTCCCAAACCTGTGGACCTCAGTTCCATTGTTTTATATCCCCATAATCATAGCTACTGCAGAAACAGATGACCTTTACATCATCTGCCTTATAGACCACAAGGTCTGAAAGGGGGAGAACTCTACTTTTTTTTTTTTTTTTTTTACAACCACAGCTATATGAAAACAGGGTAGGAGTGGCTAAATGGAACAAACCACTAAGCTACCAAATAACGGGGTTCTAGTTGGAAGCCCCACTCAGGATGAGTTGTGCTTGCTGAGCGCCTAAAGGCAACACAGAAACCTTCTCCCAGATACCCCCTACCCCATCTTTTCCACTAGAGAGATAGGACAATAGTGCACCGAGCATGCGCTAAACTTGAAAGAAGTGCTATATAAAAAAGCTATAAAAAAAAAAAAAAAAAAAACAGGAGTAAAATAAATTAAAGAGTATATAACCCGGGACGCTGACCCTTACATCTGTTTTCATTTTAATTTTGGGACTTCACATTTTTCTTAGGTCTTTCTGTCATTCTATATAAATACTTGTACAGAAATATGTTTGCTGTTCTTTAACAAAAAAAAAAAAAAAGATGTTGCATTGAATTTGTTGACTTTTCAAATATAATCTTGTGAAATTTGCTGCCATACTTTTTATGAAACCTGAAAATGATTTGAGTTTAAATTTGACACAAAACATGGACACTAATTCTAATGGTTACGATTTTGTTTTCATTTTGATTGTTCTAGTTTGTGCAGTACTTTGTCTCTGTTCTATGTTCTTGTAACTGTGTTGTCAAAGAGCGTACTATCTTTGTCCTAATTAACATGCTATTGTTGATTTGACCTCATTAAATTAATTTTTGGTTTTATAAACATAAATTTGTGTTATATAAAAAGAGCATGCATTATAATATAAAGTTATGTTTTCTGATTACAAACAAAAATGTTATTGAAGTTTAATCTTAACAGGGTAGAATGTACAAATGTGAAAAAAAGAACAATTCTGTCAGAACATGGTGTGATGGCCTTGTTCAGGCTGTCTTGAGGTCAACTATAGATGATTGTTGAATTTCAATCAATTACTATGCAAGCGTTTGAGGGAGATAATTTTAATGTAACCTTCACTGCTTGTTGATTGCTTTTATTAATGTTGGCTAACTAGTACTTTCATAATGACAAATCAGTTTTGGTCCATAAATATTTGTCACCTGTTAAATAAAATTAAGTATACTTAAACATGAATTTGAGTTGTTTTCCCTACGTCTAATTACCGGTACATATTCATATAGGCCTATTTGTGTCTTTAAAAAAAGCAAGTACCAGAAATTTACAGAATTTCGGCAAACAATATTTACATTCAGATTTTCTACTGCGCTTTCATTTAGAGAATACGTTTTTTATGTTGGATTTTTTTTTTGTACTTTTTTTATTTATTTATATTTTTTTTTATTATACCTATTCCTTAGTCTGTTGGACCGTTGGGGCACCATGCAAGATTCGTCGACCATCTCTCTTCATTCTTCTCTTGTCTTTTGCCTTAGAACCTCTTTCAATGGCAGGCCCGTCCATTCTTTTATATCGCTTCCCATCGCTTTCTCTGGCTGCCTCTTCTTCTTTTTCCTGGTACTGTTCCCTGAAGAAAGGTCTTGGCGAGCCCTGAAGACTTTGTAATATGGCCATAGAGTTGAAGCTTGCGTTTTCTTTTTTTTTTATGATAGCAGGTCATCATGGGGTCCAATCGCTGCAGTAACCCTGTCTCTAATCTCTTGGTTTGTGATCATCCATCCATCCCAGTGGCGCTACAGCCCATGGAGGGCTCTGACCTGCTTCAACACATCCTTCCATTCAGATCTCTCCTGGGCCTTTCGTCTCCACGCCCTAACCCCAAGCTGTTGCAGATCTGCTTCCTCATCATCAATCCATCGCATTCGGGGTCTGCCTTTGGGTCGCTTGCCTTTTGGTTTTTGCCTGTATACGATTTTAGGTCCTCTGTTATCTGACATTCTTTCAAGGTGACCTGCCCAACGTAGTCTGTTCTTTTTTATTTCAGTCACTATTGGTGGGTCTTCATACAATTGATATAACTCATGGTTAGTGCGTGTCCTCCACCCTGTTTCATCCTGTAGGGCACCATAGATTTTCCTAAGGATTTTCAGTTCCCAAGTATTAAGTACATTTTCAGATGTCTTATTCAGCGTTCCGGTCTCACTTGCATACATTGCTGCTGGTTTTGTATATTATTTTCTTGGTTTTTATTGAAATTGTTTTGCTCTTAAGTAGGCCTAAATAATGGGTGCTATAAAATGCTCTATTGCCTCCTGCTATTCTTTCCTTTATTTCTGTTAATAGGTCATTTTTGAAATCAATAGTACTTCCTAGATATTTGAAAGTTTGGACGTTTTCAAAATCATGGTCTTTGATTTTGATATATTGTCCCTCTGTTCGATTGTCTTTTGTCATTACGATGTACTTAGTTTTAGTGTCATTAACCTCAAGTCCTGCTGGTTGAGACTTGGTCGAGATGCTTTTTCTAGTTGTGTGAAGGCTCTGGCAATGTCAGAGATTTCTTTACCCAATAAGGCAATGTCATCGGCATAAGCAAGGTATTGTAGAGGTTGGCTGTATATCGACATTATATCGTCTCTGTTGGTTGTGGACCTGTGTTTTCTCTCCTGAAGTAGTTAGCAATAGTTCCCCTTGTGTTTATGTGTATATTTTTTATAACTCTCTCCAGTGTTAAATTGAAACGCATGCAGGAAAGTGCGTCTCCTTGTCTTAATCCTCGTTTAATCCTAAATTCTCGTGAGTGTTCTCCTTGAATTATGACCTTACTTTTTCAGTTGTTTAATGTCATATGTATAAATCTTGTCAGCTTGTTATTCAAAAATCCTGTAGAGTGTCATATAGATATTTCCTTCTGATACTGTCATAAGTCATTTTATAGTCTATAAAGAGTTGGTGGATTGGTATGTTGTATTCACGGCAATTGGTAACGCCGGCCCTAGAAGGCAGGGTATGAACTCTGGACCATCGAGACTACAGTCCAGCACGCATACCGCACATACAGCTGCTTGGCCATCGTTACGTTAAAAGAGGAGTCGATTACGTACTTTACGTATCGAAGTGTCAGAAACCTACAAGTCTTCTTTAGCTGAATAACGCAGGGCATAATCGAGTACTTGAGAAAAAGAGAGAAAATAGGATCTCCATTGATTGAGTGAGAGACAATTTTTTCTCACAAAATGTAATCTCATGAAAATATCGTACACGGAAAATTCCCGGCTTTATTACATGGGGACAATATTGACAAGGCTGCTTCCTTAACATGGCTCAAAGCAGGTCATCTCTAACCCTGAAACAGAACGCTTTGTTACAGCAATACAGGACAGAGTAATCAGGACAAAAAATTATGAGAAGCATATCCTGAAACTCAATGTTGTCGACAAATGCCGAAAATGTACAAAACATGCAAGCTTCTCTATCTCTCTTTCTCTCTCTTTCTTTCTCTCTCTCTCTTTCTTTCTCTATCTGTCTCTCTTTCTTTCTCTCTCTTTCTTTCTCTCTCTCTTTATCTATCTCTCTTTCTTTCTCTCTATCTTTCTATATCTATCTCTCTCTATATATATCTCTCTCTCTTTATCTCTATCTCTTTCTTTCTTTATCTCTCTTTCTTTCTCTCTCTTTGTCTTTTCTCTCTTTCTTTTTCTCTCTCTCTCTTTCTCAATTTCTCTCTTTCTTTCTCTCTTTCACTCTCTCTCTTTCTTCATCTCTTTCTCTCTCTCTCTCTCTCTCTCTCTCTATGTTTACACGAATGAGTAACCAATGCAAAAAGTCACTTTCTCTGAGACATTATGATCTAGTAGTTTTATAGCCCATGATTAACTGACATGTTTCATAATACGCCTGATATATATATATAGGCCTATATTGTAGGGTGTTGTGAACGGTCGTTAACTTGTAGATTACTGTATGCTGCTGGAAGACAATTAAACCGCTTGGCGTATTAGACCTATAAAACTTGAAATAACTTGAGTGACTTCTATGTGAACAGTAGGCCTACTAATTATAACTTTTATTACAATATAGACAAATTTAAGTTGAGATGAAGTAATGTACTAGACTTTAGAAATAATATTAAAATGGTATTTTAACTAAAATCCAACTCACTACAAAAAAAAAACGTCTTTTCATTAAGGCGTTAAGGAGTCGTCTTCCCTACCCAAGACAGCTGACGACAATGATGCTAATCTTGCATCATTCACACTGCATGGCTAAATTTCCCACTGTTACTATAGAAACACACACACACACACCCCATAACACAGGGCTAAATCTAGCTTTTAAAATGTACTTTGTCATGTTCATGTTTCCCTCCTTTGTAAGGCTTAGCCCTCCTTTTTGTCCTCTTATGGTAGAGAGAAGAAATTAGAAAAAAGATTAACACAGTTATTTGACCCCACGATGACCTGCTAACCATTGTTTAGAAACGCAAACTTTAACTCTACTACATTGCAAGGTCTTCATAACTCGCAAAGATCTTCCTTCAGGGAACAGTACCAGGAAAAAGACGAAGAGGCAGACAGAGAAAGCGATAAGAAGAAGAGAATGGACAGGCCTGTCATTCAATGAAATTCTTTCCAAGGAAAAAAAAAAGGGGAATGGAGAAAGACGGACAACAGATCTTGTTTGGTGCCCCAACGGTTCAACAAACTAATGGATATATGACGGTTTCTGGTACCGTGCGCCGTGTACACGGCCCGGTCTGGCCCAGTCAACCGATATGACCGTCTACCGTTGGGAGCCCTCAGACAGGACAGGGGTGAAGAGCCCCATGTCCAGGCCTGGTAGTAACTTCTTTTTTTTTTAAAGAAATGTTCGTAGGCTAATATTAAATGTTAACTAGGCCTAAGTAAAATATAAGCATTTCAATTCATTTCTTTTAGTCTGCTTTACGGGACGTTTCAAGTCGTTTGTCTCTAAGAGAAGTCTCAGTTCTGAATCCGCCTGACGACTTTGCTCATACCTTAACAACAGACCCACCCCACAATTGGAGTAACACAAACTCCCTTGGCGTTGTTATATTTCAACATTTCTGGTGGAGCGGTCGGACGTTCTTCTTATCTTATATAACACAGACGTTACTTCAAAAAGAAGATGATTAGCCTACGTCGTACGTGTCATGCATGTTAACAATTGACTTAAATTCTGCCAAGTCATTGGTTTTTCTTGCTGGCTCAGGCAACCCATACCATGCTCTAATAGCACTAGGGAAGAAGGAGCATTTGTAGTTTTGTACAACAAAGTTATGATAGGAGAGGTGATAGACCTAAAGCGGGTGATAGAAAACGTAGCGAAGGGACTTGTTTTAACTGTCGGGAAAACTGACACTATCCATACTAGTGTAGAAAACACAAGGCATAAGGACT